GGGGTTCCCAGCCTGACCAGCCAGCCGTGAACCCGGGGTGGGGGCAGGGATGGTGGAGGGGGGCTGTTCCTCCAGAAGCCAAGCCCCCCACCGCTGGGTGAGTGCCCAGCACCGGTGCACGTGAACAGCAGGCGTCCACGGCCCGGAGCCTGGGATCTCCCAACAGGACCCCGCCCCAGCCAGCAGCCCCAGGGTCCCACCACCCAGCACTCGCCTCCCCAGACGCCCCAGAGGGTCCCCCTGACGACCCAGGGGCTGAATACAAAGTGGGCACCACGGGGCTGCCGGCCTGGCCTTGGCATGCCTCACGGCAGGACCACGGGGCTCACGGAGGCCTGCAGAGCCCCTGCCCTGTGCCGTGGGGTGGGGGGGCTGACCAGCCTTAGGGGGGCCCCTCCTGTGAGCGCTCCGTGTACTCCCGATGCTCCCTGGGCCACGGCCTGCAGGCCCCGCGACAGACCAGTGCTGCAGGCACCCAGGCCCTCCTGGCTCTCTCCGTCTGCACCGAGTCGGGCAAACGAGTCGGGGGCTGCCTCCCTTCCTCCTGGCTACCTGCTGGCGTGTCCCCGCAGACGCAGCCCCGGGCCCTGCTCGGCTTCCGTGCCTGCGAACGTGTGCGCAGCGGTGAGGCCCTCCTGGTGACCGGCTCCTTCCACCGCTTCCTGCACCGCTGGGGGAGGAAGAAGCCCCCAGAAGCCCCCATGCCCTGGCCCTGACCCCCGCCCTCCCTCAGCCCCGGGCGCACGCCGCTCTCTCCCTAGGAGGGGCAGGTCACCGCAGGCCTCCTCATTAGCGGCTAATTGCCGCCTGCGCCGGGCCTCCCAGAGCTGTGGCCACATTACACCTGTTGACAAGCTGTGGCGGCCCCGCGGGAAGGCGCCCTGTGCTGATTAGACTGCTAATGATGTGCTCGTTGCCCGCGGTGACTTCCTGCAACAAATCAAACGCTGTGTCTGTTCAGCCCAGGGATGAGTCTGGCTTCACGAGGAGCCCAGGGTGCACCTGGGGTTTGGGAGGCCCGGGGGGCTCAGACGGGGACACCTCTGGCCACGACCAGCGGCCACACGTGCCTGTGTGTCCTCCTAAGAGTGGCTGCTTTCTCTCTCGGCTCTGAGAATGGGTGTGCCAGGAGCGCCCTGACGCAGACCCACCCTGTGTGGGCCTCCCCTCACCCTCCACCCCCCACCCCCAGCCCCAGGGCCTGCAGAGCCTCCCAGGGACGTGGAAGGGTCTGCAGAGAGTGGCCTAGAAGGCTGTGGCCCCACACCCATGTAGACAGGGAAGGACACCCAGGACCCACGGGGATCTACACTGATTCCCCCAGAAACCCCTGAGCATGAAGACCCTCACATGGTGAAGAGACCCCTAACTGGTCACCCACATGAACAGGACAGTCCCCAGTCTACAGGAAGCATGGGGACACATTCAGACGGCCACAAGTCCTTGTTTGGGTGTGAGGCCAGCCTTGTTCTACGTGACTGACCCCAACTGACCTACCAACAGGGGCTTGGGATGCAGCAGGAAGCCCCCACTTGTGGGTCCTGGTTGTTCCCCCGACCCCGACCCCGTGTCCAACGTGGGGCCCAGGGCCTCCACACGGGCTCCAAGTGTCTGGGCGGGTCCACAGGGCAGATGGACACCACAAGCATGTGGGCCACACCCGAGCACACGTCCTTCCCCCTACACCAATGCGGAACAGGGCGGGAGCAAAGCCCATTTCTACTTTCCAGCATCTCACGATACAGTAACGTGGGAAAATGTAATAAATGTTTTGAAATCACACGTTTAAGAAAAACTTAAAAACATTTAGAAGTGTTTTCCTTAAGCAATTTCCATGCCCAACACGGGACTTGGACTCACCGCCCCAAGATCAAGAGTTGCTGAGCGCTCTTCCTTCCGACCGATCCAGACGGGAGCCCCTAAACATTTCTTGGAAAAGACAAAACACCTTTTACTTTTCCCAACCCTGGATTGTAGTATTCCTACCGCACATGGGCTGTCTGCCCCCCAGACACACCTGCTGGCTCAAGCCCGGCTGTGGGGACAGCCGAGCGCGGGTGGTCCATCCCAGCCCACCCCTCAGGGAAGTCCGTGTGGGAGGGGGGCTCTGATCTGGGGAGATACATCCCATTACGCAGTTGTCCTCTGACCCCTGAGAGTCCCACAAGAACTTGGACATGAGGGCTATGGTGGGTTGGACGGTGCCCCTCAAATAACATGTCCCCCAAACCTGTGAATGGGACCTCACTTGGAAATAGGGTCGTTGCAGATGTAATTGAGGGTTTTGAGAAGATATCATGCTGGGTAGTAGGCTGGGCCCTGAGTCCAATGACGGGTGTCCTTAGAACAGCAGGGGTGACACACAGGAGCTCTGCGACGGAGCCGTGGGGGCTGGAGGAACAGAGCCATGTGCCCAGGGCTGCCCGGGCCCACCAGGAGCAGTGCTAGGCAGGAGGGAACCTTTGGAAGGTCCTTCCAACACCTTGGCCTTAGACTTGTGGCCTCAAGTACCGAGAAAAAAATTTTTGTTATTATAAACCCTCCGTCGTGTGACCCCTGTTGCAGGAGCACTAGACACTAACACAGGCCCTGTCCCTGGGACCAGTCCCCCAGACTGCAGGAGGGGTCGGCAGCTGCATGCATCTCGGTAGAAACTGTGCCTGCTCCCGCCCAAAGATCTGCCGGCCGGCTTTGGGCAAAGGGGGTCCTGCAGGCACACCTGGAGCAGAAGCCAAGCTCTGCATCTGTCCCAGCTCAGGGAAAGGGGTGCCTACACCCCGTGGCCCGGGCTGGCTGCAGGGCCCTCCGTTTCCCCCACGTGGGTAAACCCTGGCACTGCACGTGGGAAGCGTGCGGCGGGCACTCGGTAATGATGATGATGAAACAATCCTCAGCTGTGAGAGCAGCTGCACAGAGGAGGCAGGCACGGTGTCGGCTCCGGGGCCTCAGGGTCTCCAGGGGCCCTCTTCACGTGTGTGTGCGTGTGCACGCGCGTGCGGTATCGGAGACCCCCAGGTGGAGTTTCTGAACCAGAAGCTGTTTCGGCCACCCAGGCACCCCACAGGGATGGTGGGACTGGGGGCTGGAAGCCCGGAGGACTCAGGTTCACTCACTGTCCCGCTCTTGGAGGCACCTTGGGGCCGCCGCTTTCAACGAGATACAGACTCACATATCCTACAATCCGCCCACTTAAACTGTGCAATTCAATGGTTTTTGATACGTGACATTTTTTTTAAGTTGCAGGAACACATACACGACAGAATTTGCCCCAGGGACCCCGTGCACGCGCCCCAGTCCAGGCCTCAGCTGCGTTCACGGGGAGGTGTAACCACACCTCCTTCTCCAACGCTTCTCATCACCACACACCGAAACCTCCTCCCCAGGCCCAAGCTACTGGCTGTCTCCATGGCGCGGACTCTGCAGGCGTCCTGGAAATGGAGTCCAGCAATGCTGGGCGTTCTGTGGGGCTCCTCTCACGGAGCCTCGTGTCCTCGGGGGGTCATCCTCAGGGCAGTGGGCGTCCCTGGCTCGCCTGCCTTACAGCTGAGTACTCCTCCGTGGCAGGGAGGGACCACAGCTCCTTTCTCCACTCGTCTGCTGAAGGGCACTTGGGCTGTTCCCGCCTTTATCCCCCCACTCTTTGCTCCACTTGGTTTGCGGCTGCAGACCTGGGTTCCAGGGGGGCAGGGAGGTGGAGGCCGGCCCTGCACCCCCGTGGGCTCTGGCATCCTGGTGGTGCGCTCCCCACTCCTGCACTGGGAGAAACTTCCCTGCACCCCAGCTTCAGCCGGAGCCCCTCCCGTGGAAGCCCCCTCCTTCGCTCCGCCTGACTGATCCCAATCCTGCCCCCAGCCCACCACTGCCTGTTATGCTCGGTATTTTCCGTGAACTTCCCCTGGGGGATTCCGGGGAAGCCAAGGTTATTTTGGGCTCCCTACTCCTAAGAACCACTTGGGACTGTGGAGTTTCAGGGATCCTATCTCAGACCTCGGTCAGGTGTTGTGTGGGCAGGGATGGGTGGGGCCTGGAAGTCCACCTGGTTTAGCTGCTAGGGAACATCTCCCCCCAGCCCCAGGCCCAGCCGCTGGAACGGAAATTCCTGTCCTGGCAGCCAAGAGGAGCCGCTGCACCCCCGCCCCCACTGGGAGGCTGCCCCAGCCCGGGGGGGGGGGGGGGGGGGGCTGGGCTCTCTGCACCGCCAAGAAACCCCACAGGCAGGTGTGGGAGTCTCCAGGACAAGCCCATACTGGGGCAGGAACTCCCAAGAAGAGCGGGAGCCCAGGCTAGGCTGGGCCCTGAGGCCTGAGGTTCCCCCGGACGCCCTGGGCTGAACCCAGCCCTGCTCGCGCCGCACACCAGACCCAGCTCCGGGAGTCCTCCGGAGAGCCCTGATGAAAGGTGGTCACTGACGTTGAGCTGGACTCGACGCGATTCACAGCGGCTGGAGACCGGCGTCTAGCCGGCAGCAGCCCTGCTCCGCGCTGCGAAATCTCACGGGCGAGCGGAGTCTTCTCCATGGGGTCCCCCAAGTAACAGAGGACGGCGTCGGAGGCCGAGCCAATGTCAGCAGCCGCCCGTGTCCCTGTCACCCGCACGTTCCTCACCCCGCCGCCCAGACTGAGGGCCCACGAGGACCGGGCGTCCCTCTGGGGTCTCGAGCGTCTGTGAGACCCAATACAGCGAAGCCGCTGCCTCTGCAAACTCCCAGGTCAAGGACTCCGGGGCCGCACACTGGCCGGCAGGGGAGCCCTGGGGGAGGGAGACGTCATTCTAGTGTTCTCGGCTCCTTCCGCCGCCGCCCGAGAGGCGGGGAAGGCGACAGGTTCCTCCGCGGAACTGGGCCAGCCAGCAGGGGGCGCGCGCCCTCCAGGCGCCCGGCGGCTGGGGGCAGACGCGCATGCGCCGCGCGGGGCGCTTTCCGGCAGCGTGGCGGAAAGCGCTTGCCGTTTCGCGCCTTTTGGCGACTTCTGCGCCGGGAGCCCCGCGACAGTACGGCAGCCATGGCGTCGCCCTTCAGCGGGGCGCTGCAGCTGACGGACCTGGATGACTTCATCGGGCCCTCTCAGGTGGGTCGGCCCGCGCGGGCGGCGGCCGTGTGTGGGGTGGGGCCCCGCTACCCGGTCAGTTTCTTCCCCTGAGAAACGGGATCCGCCCGAGACCCCCGGGCCTCCGGCGCCCTGGCCAGTTTCCTCCTGATGGGAAGCCGCGGCCGGGGATGCCAATTGTCCGAGCAGGACTACGGCACCGCGAGGTTTCGAGGAGCGAGGCTTGGCCAGGGCCGCGGGTGGGGGGCGTGCCGAGTGGCCCGTCACCGTGCGCACCCGGAAGCCGGGGGGAAGCCGGGCGGGGCCGCCGGCGTCACCCCCCCCCACCCCCCCGGGCAGTGTTGGGCTTGGGGCCAGGGCGACCCTGTCCACTCCCTCTGGTAGAGGCGGGACGGTCCGGAGGTCCGAGGAGCTGGTCCCATGGCGTCACCTGCCCTGACTACCCGGTGCCCGTCGGGGTGTGTGGTCGTCGCTGGCGGAGCTTGCCCCTAAGGGAGGCAGGACAGCTGCACTGGCAAGGGAGTGTCCTCCTCATCAGGTGTCCCTCCCTACCAAGGGCACCGGCTGTGCGGGACCAGGCCCGGGAGGGGGGAGGGCGCGGGGCTGGGCACATCACCATGGGCAGGGCTTTCTGGGGCGCACCATACCTGGGAAGGCAACTGCCAGAGAGGTTCTTGTGACAGGGAAACCCCCAAGAACTTGGGGAGTTGGGGAGAAGGAGGAACTCCTTTCACTGGGGCCTGGGCAGGGCAGTGACCTCCGACCAAAGCATTCCTGCCGAGGTGCAGAAACGGTGGCTCCTGGGTGTCCTCCCAGTGGCCAGTCCGCGTGCTGAGAACAAGAGTAAAGTTCAGAGCGGGCAGGCTTGCAGGGCGTTAGCGTGCGGCCGGCAGCACGGGCCTCCATCTGGCTGTGAGCCGCAGAGTGACCGCTGGTGCCGGCGGGCTGTTCGAACGTGTACCCCGTGTGCAAGCGCGGTCAGCCGCCTTCCTGCTAAGACTGCTTCCGTGGCCGGACGAGAGGAGTCAGGTGTGCTGGCGTGACCACCAGGTCGCTCCTCTTCTTGGGGAACCTCCGTGCACTCAGGCCCCCATTTGGGGTCTCTTCCTTGTACAGGACTGCATCAAGCCCATGAAGGTGGATAAGAGCACAGGAAGTGGCGTGGCCAAGATCCACATTGAAGAAGATGGGAGTTACTTCCAGGTCACGCAGGTGAGCTCCGGCCCAGATGACCAGAAGCATGTGCGTGCTGCGCTTCGCAGTCACGAGTACAGTGACCGGGAGACCTCTCACGGCGGTCAGATTCACTGTCATCAAGGCCAGGAGGGCGGGGATGGGGCGGGGGTTGGGGTGGAGGGGCACAGAGGCTGAGCGTGGAGTTTCACTTGGTCTGCAGAGGGGATCCTCTTGCAGAGCTGATGGTCTCTGTCTTCCCTTTCCCTCTCCGCTTCTCACTGTGTGGGATTTTCCAGTTCATCAGCTTGTTGTCAGCGAACCCCTGCTTCCTGTATAATCGCACAATACCGAGATCCTGGTTTAAGGACCATCTGCTGTTTGGACCCTCAAGAGTGTCTGTGCTGTCCCGTGGGCTACAGGCATGGGTGCACCTGGCCCAGAAACTTCTCACGGGCAGGGGAGGAGCCTCAGGGGGCACAGGGCAGGGCTGGACCGGGGGTCAAGCGCTCACAGGGAGAGAGCCGGACGTTTGCTCAGGCCAGGAGCGTGACCCCGCAGCACACCACAGCTCCTGCCCAAGCTTAGCCCAGCACAGGGAAACACCACCTAAGGGTTGGGGGGGGTGGTCCCACAAGTGAAGAGATCCAGGAGAGGTGGGGGCATCAGTGGGCCCTGCCGTACCAAGCAACAGTGATTGATGTGGAGAGAAGTTGGGAATAGGTCTCTTGGCACAAAATCAAAGCCTGGGCCTTTAGGCCCATCCAACTCTAAAAATACGCACTGAGCTCAAATCGCAGCTTCGGTGTGAAGTGCCGCCCTGATGAGCTTGGCTGGAAGGGGGTCCCCGTCTCTTCAACCCGCTGGTCACATTCTGGGCCCCGGCAGCTCGCCCTGGCCCCAACCCTTCCTTAGTTTACAGAGGGAGTAAAGGTGCTCAGCTGGGGTCTCTTGCATCTCGGGAAAGTTGCAGAACGTCGGCCTGGAGGCCCACGTCCCACACCAAGCTCTGCGCCTGTTTGGCGGTCCGGCTGTTGCTGCCCAAGTGTCTGTCCGCCTCTCCCGGGCTGGCGCTTGCTCGCAGACCGCCGCCTCACTCTGCCCTCTCCCCCTTCGTCTCAGCCTTGCCTTTCTCATCCTCCCGTTGGAGCCTGGCCGTTGACATTTTCCCCTCTGCACAGCCCCGCGAGTGTAGACTAGGAGCCTCTGGCAGCTCCGCAGACCACACACCCACGCTCCACCCCGGACAGGCTGTGGGCCTCGTTAATGCGCCTGTGATGCGCCAGCTGAGCTGGTGCCCAGATTAGAATTCGGTGGAGCTAGACTATATATAGAATGGACGTACTTCTCCAACAAATATTTAATTTTTAGAAACGCAGTGGCATTCAAAGCCAGCCAGCTACCACGCTGGTAGTCAGTGTTGCGAGCCAGAGAATCAAGGTTTCCTGTAGGTTCCGTTATCCCAAGGGCTCGTGTCCTTGTGCAGGGGGCCCTGTTGAACACCGCGTGCTGTGCTTCCAGGACGGAGGGACTCAGAAGCTAGAGAAGGCCAAGATCTCACTGGGTGACTGCCTGGCATGCAGTGGCTGTGTCACCTCCGCGGAGACCGTCCTCATCACGCAGCAAAGCCATGAGGAACTGCGGAAAATTCTAGATGCCAATAAGGTAAGTGGTGGACGGTCTTGGAGACGTTTTTAGCCTGACATCGACTGCAGCATCCTTTGCTCTTGCTGTCAAGGGCCGATCTCCGGGTGACTCCCTCATTTTCAAAGTGGCGTCAGCGGGACGTCAGTGACTTGTCCTATTCCCACACTGAAGTGTTGGGCCCCACCTGCACATAGAAATGACATGCCCCGGAGACAGGGCGTGCTCTCACCAGCACCGGACCCCTGGGGATGAGTGCGGAAACATGCCGAGTGAGCACGTGTCCCTTGCTTTGCAGACGGCGGCCCCAGGTCAGCAGAGGCTGGTTGTGGTTTCTGTCTCGCCCCAGTCCAGAGCGTCGCTGGCAGCAAGATTTCAGCTGAGTCCTACAGACACTGCCAAGAAGCTGACTGCGTTCTTCAAGAAAATCGGTAGGCACCAGACATCGCCGGAGCGCTCCGGCTCAGCATGGGGGAGGTCCCACGAGGGGGCGCCTTGGGCTTCTGAGTCACTGAACTCAAAACACACCAGAACCTTCCAAGTTGACGTCAGGCCAGAGTTTTGGTTTGACACACGAGAGCCGAGCCTTTTAAGAGAGACCTTCTGAATCGTCTCCGTGCTCTCCCGACCTGGCGCTTACCTGCTTCTCGCGTTGTGTTTAAGTGATCGTCATCAAGGCCCGTTTCCCCGGTTCCGGCTCAGATCGACTTTGGTCGACCTCTGTGAGCCAAGAGCTGGGCTGGAGGCTGTGGGCTGCGTGCCACCAGGACGTGGCCGGTCCCTGACAAGCCAGGTGGCAACAGCTTCCTGGGGCGTGGCCGGCAGGGCCTCGTGATTCAGCCGCCCTTTGTGGCAGTGAGGTGGGTGCTTGCTTTTCAGGGGTGCACTACGTGTTCGACACCGCCTTCTCGAGGAACTTCAGTCTCCTCGAGAGCCAGCGAGAATTTGTGCAGCGGTTCCGAGGACAGGCCGGCTCCACGCAGACCTTGCCTGTGCTCACGTCCGCCTGTCCAGGTGTGTCCACACTGCTGGACGCGGGGAACAGGAACGCTGGGGTGGGGGGAGCAGCGCAGGCTTCTGGCAGGATGGCCTCCTTGGCGGGAGGAGGCGCCTGAGAGTCACTCAGTTCCCCGAGGCCGTGATCTCACGGATGCTAGCAGCACTCGACAGCGATAGCAGAGCGAGGGACGTTCCGTAATGGGACCATAACTCCTTGCACGAGTTGGTCCCCTGTAGCATGTCCTGTCACTTGCCCAGCCGGTGCGACGCTCCTTTTTTCTTCCCGGTGTCGGCCTCAGGCTGGATCTGCTATGCGGAGAAGACGCACGGGAGCTTCCTCGTCCCTCACCTCAGCACAGCACGGTCCCCGCAGCAGGTCATGGGCTCCCTGGTCAAGGACTTCTTTGCCCAGCAGCAGGTAACAGGAACGTTCCAGCTGTGAGCCAGTCACTGCCCCCATCCTGAAAGATAAGCCACGACCCACACAAAGAGCCACGGCCACATCCTGGCCGCTGGCTGGTGTCACCCCACGTCCGCCGACGGCCCTTCCTGTCGGGCCAGGCCGCGACTGCGCGTCTCCACGTCTCTCAGCAGCACGTGACCCCTGACGGCATCTGCCACGTGACAGTGATGCCCTGCTATGACAAGAAGTTGGAAGCTTCCAGACCAGACTTCTTCAGCCAGGTGCACCAGACTCGTGATGTGGACTGCGTGGTCACCACAGGTCGGTTCCCGCTGCCCTGAGCCCAGGGCACGGACGGCATTGCCGGGGTCCCACCCGTCAGCTCTGGCTGGAGGCGCCGTCCCCTGGGGACGAGGCAGCCCCGGTCCTCCCCAGGGAGCCAGGCCATACCTCACCCTGTTCCTCGGTCTCGGAGAACTGCGGCCAGCGGGACCCCCTGCCCTACCGGGCTGTTTGCTCTCAAACAGTCTGTGTGGGGAGGTGGGTGGAGATTCCTGCCAGCTGCTCTGGCTCCCGTGGGTCACCCCATTTCTGAGCTGAGCAGCCTCTCAGAGTCTCCCGAGGGCTTCAGATACAGAAGAGTGAACGCTTGGGAGCCCAGCCAGTGGGGGGAAGGCCTCCTGCACGAACACACGCCCTGGTCCGCCTGGTGGGGAGCCGGGAGCACCCCGCTGCAGGCATGCCCCGGGAATGGGCGTGCCCCCCAGCTGTGTCGGCGCGAGGGCGGGCTACAGGTCCGGGGCGCGGGCTGGCTCTTCTGAGGGGCTTCAGAAGTGGGTCCTCCTTTCGCCCTGTGGCCGGGTTCTCGTCCACCCGCAAGCCGGGAGGCGGACGTCAGGGTGTCCGTCCGCCAGGGGTGCGGGTGCCATGGGCTTCCTCGCTGCTTTTACTGCGATCTCAGCTGAAGAGCATCTGCGCTGGGGTCTTTTTGTAGGAGAAGTCTTCAAGTTGCTAGAGGAAGAAGGGGTCTCCCTCTCGGAGCTGGAGCCAGCCCCCTTGGACAGTCTGTAAGTCGCCTTCTAGTGCGGAGTGGGGTCAGGGTGCTCGTAGTGTGGGTCTGGGGGCGTGCAGGTGGTTCGTGTCCCCTCCCTTGCTCCTCCCCACGCGGCTTCCTTCTGGTCGGCCCCATGTCTGCTCTGTGGTCTGTCTTGGTGTGCACAGAGGTGGTCAGGTTCATGAGACAGCCGGTGGACAGCCGACCCCAACCCAACCCAGGCCTGAGCTCCCGAAACAGGTTACTCAACAGACGGATAATCTTTCTCCCACCTGAGCTACCACCTGACACACAGAGCCCCCAGGTTTCAGACTCCTTTCCCGTTCAGAGAGCAACTCCGTCAGACTCGAGAGATAGAAGCTCTCTGAAAGCCCTGTGGACAGCAGCTGCTGCCCCCTGAGGCCGTGCCCTGCTCCCTAGGTGCAACAGCGCATCTGCCCAAGAGCCCACCAGCCACCGAGGCGGGGGCTCCGGGGGCTACCTGGAGCACGTGTTCCGGCATGCAGCCCGGGAGCTCTTTGGGATCCACGTGGATGAGGTCACCTACAGACCCCTGAGGTCAGTGAGGAGGGCTGGAGCTTGGGAACAGGTTAGCCCAGTTGGGGCAGCCTCGGCCTGGGTCTCCTGGCTGAGGTGGGCTTGAAGGAGAGCAGGGTGGGTTTGGCAAAGACCCAGGGCACCAGGCAGGAGCTGATACCTCCTCTCCGGCCAGTGCTCTCCAGGGCTCTGCCTCCCCGTCACGGTGGTCAAGAGCTCCCAGAGACCGTGGTTGGCAGGGTCTGTCCCGACATAATGCCCTCTTCCATAGCCGGGGGCTGGGGGCTGTCTGACCTCGCCAGGTTGGTGGCCGTCAGGAGGGAGGGGGATCCCATCCTGAGGTTCGGGACACCAAGCGAAGTGAGCTTCCCACCCTTCCCTTCCGTCACCGTCCTCCACGGAGGAGCCGGTCGGGGTGGCCCATGTGCCCACAGGGGTGGGAGGCAGGAGGGAGCCCAGCCTGTGCTCCCCTCAGGAACAAGGACTTCCAGGAGGTGACCCTGGAGAAAGAGGGCCGCGTGCTGCTGCACTTCGCCGCCGTGTACGGCTTCCGTAATATCCAGAACCTGGTGCAGAAGCTGAAGCGAGGGCGCTGCCCATACCATTATGTGGAGGTCATGGCCTGCCCCGCAGGTAGCTGCGGCGCAGGGGCCCTTTCCGGGGCTGTGGGAGGGGTGGCGGGGGGGGGGGGGCTCCGTCTCTTCCCCGGCCTGGGCGGCCCGGAGGCTCAGGAGAGCCAGTGTGGGAAGGGGCTGGGCTGTGCGCCCCGTGTGCAGGCGTCATCCCGTGACCGTGTTCCCGCCTGCCCTGCTCTGCAACAGGCTGCTTGAACGGCGGAGGCCAGCTCAAGGCCCCCGGCACAGCCGGCAAGGAGCTGCTCCAGCACGTGCAGATGCTGTACGACGCGGTGACGACGCAGGTGCCAGAGGACGCACCTGGCGTCCAGGAACTGTACGAGCACTGGCTGCAGGGCGAGGGCTCAGAGCGGGCTGGCCGCCTGCTGCACACGAGCTACCACGCGGTGGAGACGGCCAGCTCTGGCCTCAGCATCAGGTGGTAGGCTGCCTCCTCACGGGGCTGCCGGGCCTGCCTAACCAATACTGGGACTCCCACGAAGCTCATGTCCTGAGACCCCAGCCCAAAACCCTGACTGAGCTGCAGGGATGGGCTGGAACCCACACAGAAATGGGACTCCGGACCCAGAGCCGGTCAAGGGGACCTCCAGCCCGCCCTCACCCACACTCCCCATCGCAGGAGGCCAGAGGTTCCACGAGGTCCCAGAACCTCCCCGTGGGCCCAGGTCTGCGATCAGTGTTCTCTCTGCTGCCTGGAGACCCAGGTAAGGCCCAGGCCCGTGGGCAGCTTAAGGCAGAGCGAAAGTGGGATTTCTCCTCCCCATTCCTGGAGTCATCCATCCAGACTGGTGGAGAGCCCTCCGGCCCTGGATGGCAGGGAACGCTGGCCGGAGAGGAGCGCGCGGCCCATAGCACCCCACGCTGGGGGTGGCATACCTGCCCCACCTGGAACTGGGCGTTGAGGATGCCGTGGTCTCTGGGACCGAACAGCTTGCATTTCTCCGGTTCTGGGCAGGAAGCAGGTTCTGTTAGACCCGGTGAGATCAGGCGCTGAGTCCCATCTGCACAGCTGGGTCCCCACTTACAGGGGTGGGGGAGAGGGCAGAGTGGGGTGAGACCGCCTGGCGTGTTGTCACAGAGCTCCCCATCTAATAAAGGGATCTCTCTGAAAACGCTTCCAAGTCCAAGAGCATCCACCAGCATCAAAAATGAACCCTTCCACAGCTTTATTCAAAGTTCAGAAGCCCTGTGCACCCCAGCACGCATCCCAAACACCCAGGCCTCGGGGCTCACACGCACCCCAGAGAGGAGCCTCACATGTCCAGTGCCAGGGTGCCCACTCCCCAAGTCTGGACAGCCAGCTGGGCAGGGCTATGGAAGGTGCCAGAGGCAATCCTCCCATGGGCTCAGTCGGCCAAGGGGTGAAGGAGGAGAGGTGTGCTGCCTGGCCCCATAGCCGGTCCTCCTGGGGCTCATTTCTGTCGAGGTGTGCCCAGGAGCCCCCACTGCAGGGCCAGGAAAGCCCGGGCCTGCGGCTGCAGCGGCTCAGCCGCCCGCTGGAAGCTCGCCCGCTCCTTGCAAAGTGCCTCCAGGACCTCAGCTGGGGCCGCCTTCCCTGTGAACTTGCGCACAGGCTCCTCTCTGTAGGGAGAGGGGACACCGTGGGGAGACTGTTGGGGAAATGCCAGGGGGTGTTGGCAGGAAACACTTAAAGAACAGCCACTCCCTGGTGCCAGTCAGCCCAATAAGCAGTCCCCTGGCACCTCCTGCAGTACCCAGATGACGCTAAAGGGGACCAAGGGACAGCAGGCCAGCCACGGGACACAATGCTCTGGGGTGCAGCCCCAGGGGTGGGCGCAGGGCCCCACAAGAAGGCTGGGGACGCCAACCAGTACTCACGCCACCCTTAGGAAGGGGTTGTAGAGGAGCTCCTCGCTCAGGGTGGATGGCACTGTGGGAAGGTCGTCCTCGTCCCTCTTCTGGAATGACCACAGGCCCCTGTCACAGCCCTATCTCGAGAGCCCCAAGCAACTTGGCTTCACTCAGCCCTGCCCCTCTCTGGGGGCGGGAGCAGAAGGGCTTCCTCGCCTCATCAGCTCCTTGAGGACGGCCACCCCACCACCTGCACAGGCCCCCATCCAAAACCACCTACTCCTCCCCTATCCAGTAGGAGCCTCAGTCAATGGTGGACCCCGGACTAAGCCAGGTCTGGTCATGTCTGACTCTTCTATAGACCCCCTCCTCTGCCCCAACCTTCGTCCACCCTCCAAACCTCTAGGAGGAGAGAAGGTGGGGTGGCCGCACCTTGGCCCATGACAGCTTTGCTCTCACGTGGTCATTGCCAGGCTCCACTTTCTGTGCAAACTCAAGGTTGCCCAGTGTGTGTTCATGGCCACAGAACACCTTCTGGAGAAAGGAGGCACTCAGGGGGTGCACAGCGCTGCCACAGGCAGAGATGCGGGGAGGTGCTCACCTGGGCTTGCCTGGCCCCTCTCCGCACTCTCGCACCCCACGCCTGGTCTGCCCAGGCTCCTTGGCTGGAGTGCTCGTTCTGCACCCCCGCAGCACCAGTCAGGGTCAGAGTGTGTGGGTTGTGCAGGGTGACCGGACCCTGCAGGAGGGGAAGGGATGGCCACTCACCGTCTCAGGGGGCAGGCTGCCCAAGGTCTCCGTCAGGCTCTCATACATCTGCTGAGCTGTGCTCTCCAGGCGCAAGCCGCAACCCGCCACCGACAGGGCATCCCCTGGGGAGGACAGCAGGTCAGAGAAGGTGGGGCAGGGTCACAGGCAGGCGGGGGTGGTGGGGCGGGGCAGCCAGTACCCGAGAACACCGCGGGTGGATCCGGACATTCTTCTTCCCACAGAAAGTAGCTCATGTGGCCAGAGGTGTGGCCTGGCGTCAGGAGACAGCGCACGTGGATGGCCCCAAACTGCGGCAGAGGGGCGGGCTGCTGGTGAGGCGGGAGGGCCCAAGGCGATTCCCCGCCCTCCCGGGCGCGCGCTCACCCGCAGCTCCTCGCCGTGCACCAGCCTGCGGGTCAGCGCGCAGATGCGCTCATCCGCGCCCAGCACGGCCAGTCCCGGCCGCAGCCGCGCCAGCTCCGCGTTACCCCGCGCGTGGTCCCTGCGGACGAGTGGGAGCAGGATCACGCCTGGGTCGGGGTGGGGCAGGGGCGATGCCCTCGCGCCTCGGCCCGCCCCGACCGCGCTCACCAGTGGTGGTGGGTGGTCAGCACGGTGGTCAGTGATACCCCCTCCCGGCCCACGATCTCCAGCAGCTGAAAGGGACGGGAGTTAGGGAGATTTGGAAGAGCCCAGTGGCCGCCCCACCTCTCTGCCCCCCAGTTAGGGCGCCAAGTGTGGTGTACACAGAGTCCCGGGGGCTCGGGGGGGCGTGGAGGTACGGGAGACCCAGCAGACAATGACTGAGCGCCCAGGGCGTAGGACAACGGTGAGGCACCAGAGAGGAGAAAAACGGGGGTCGGAGACGGTCGTAACTTCAGGGCAGCCCCGAGATAATCCGGGAACCGTAATCGCCATGCGCCCAGAGATCAGAGAGCAGGGGAAGGGCCTGCTCCAGCCACGGTGGTCGGGGGACCCCAGCGGCGCTCCCCGCCGCCCACAGGCTGCCCTCACCCTCTTGGGCACGGCCACGTCCACGGCCACAGCCTCCCGCGTGTGCTCCTCGATGACAAGGTACATGTAGTTATCCTCGAGCACCGGGATGACCTTGACCTTCATGGTCGCAGAGCTCAGGCACCCCGCGTCTTCTCGTCGAGAGGCCCCCAGGCTTCCGAACCCCTTCCTCAGGGCGGGGGCTCCCCTCTCCAGACCAAGGCAGGGCTGCGCGAGGGAGGGGTCAGCTCCTCACACACATCAGGGGCCGGTAAGGGAGCCCGCTCGCTGCTCCGCGGACTTCCCGGAGCTCCGGTGCGGAAGCCCACGCCCCAGGCTCAGGCCCGGCCGGCCAGTTCGCACGCCAGCCCGCCAGCGGCATCGACCACAACGACTGCGCCGCCACCGCGGCCGCCACTGCAGCCCGCAGCCGCGAAGGCCCCGCCCCTCGCGACGGCGCAACCGCCCGGCGCGCCCCCTCCAACCACGCCCCCTCCGCCGCTCCGCGCGTCGCGCCTAGGCCTCGCCCCCAGGCCCGCCCCGCCCCGCCCCGCCCCCCTCCCGCCGTGGCGCTAACACGGGTCCCAAACCGTTTCCTTACCCGCACGGGCTGACTGCGCGGACCGCCTCAAAGACTACCGGACAGAGACGGGCCTCGGGCGCTGGCCACGGCGCCTTAACGGAGCGCGGCGCTCGGCCCGGCCGCCGCCATGGCCCGTGCCCCGGCGTAGGGAGAGCGCGTGCGAGGGCGCGCGCGTGCCCGATGGGGGCCGCACGCACGTCGGGGGCCGCAGCGCCCGGCGCTCGGGCGCCGCCTCCAGGGAGCCCTCCGGGCGCCGGGGCTGAGCCCGTCCTCCTGAGTCCCCCAGTCCCTCGACTGGAACGTCCGCGGCCCCTTCCCTCAGGCTGGGGGCGGAGGAATCTGTCCAGTTTGTTCACCTGCCCATCCCAGCGCCCAGCCAGCAGCAGTGGGCACACAGAAGGTGCCTACTGTGCGAACGCCCACAGCAAGACAGGGCACCTTGCGCGAGGACAGCAGTGACCGCGGCGGTCGTTCCATTCTGTGCTGGGCCTTCTCATGAACTCCTGCTTCCATCAGGACCCAGGGTCAACACTGAGGCGCCGGTCTGCATTTCCCAGGTGAAGGATGGGTAGCCATATACGGAAGGATCCGAGAGTGCCCCTCCCTGGCTCCCCTGGTGGGTGGGGCCCCAGACACCCCCGGGACCAGCAGGGGGCCAGCAGAGGCCTTGGCAACACAAGCCACTGTGTTGCAGCAACAGGCGGGTTGGCAAGGCGGCACTGCCCTTGGGGAGGCCAGAGTCCTTTCTGCCTATGGAGCATGCAGCAGCCACAGCCCCCAGGCCGAGACCCCCACCTGGGGCCACTGAGAATGTGAGTCTCTCCAGGACACTTCTGTTTCTGCCATGGCGCCGGGGTTCCTCCCTAACCCCTCAGAGGCCAGGAGAAACTGTCCTCAGTCTGTGTGTGGAGGGGGTACTGGGGAGGGGCCAGTGCATGGCTGGCAGCTCTCCTTGGGAGTGGAGGCCACTGCTCAAGCCTAAGACACAGTGGGCGATGGGGGGGTGATGCCTCCCCAGGTTCTGCCCCAGGCAGAGGACTTGGCAGCCTGCCTCAAGACAGAGCTTCCCTCGGATCTGGAGCTGAGTGAGCAGCGGTGCCTGCAGGTGCGCGTGAGGCCCTAGGGGGCCAGCTAGCAGGAGGGAGGGTCCCCTGGACACCGCCTCTTACCCTGACCACCCACAGATCTCCAAGGAGTTGGTTGACCTGCAGATCTCAGCTCACCACATGCGGGAGCAGCATGAGGCTGAACTCTTTGAGCTGAAGAGTGAGGTGGGTGCCGGAAGGTGCCCACATGTGCCGGCCCAGGCACATGGCGGGAGGGTGCATACCTGGGACCAGTGCTGTGAGGGGCCCAGGTAT